TTTCGACATTGGGCGGAAGGGGGGGGGTCTGGGTCCGGACCTCTGCTTCATGCGACTGTTTGCAACAGTGCGTCCGTCATATGGGGGAGACTCCACCTGCCTGAAACAGGCGCTAAAAACAGCCAAGATCTTCTAAGGGGGGGAGGGGGGGTGCGAGGGCCCGCGTTGATCGGCAAAACAATGAATGTGACCATCCTCATCATCCTCATCCTCATCCTCATCTTCATCCTCAGCCTCAGCCTCAGCCTCAGCCTCAGCCTCAGCCTCAGCCTCAGCCTCAGCCTCAGCCTCAGCCTCAGCCTCAACCTCATCCTCATCCTCATCATCATCATCTTCTTCATCATCATCATCATCACCATCATCATCCACATCATGCTCATCATCATCATCACCACCACCACCATCTCATCATCATCACCATCACCATCATCATATCATCATCATCATCATCATCCATCATCATCTCATCATCATCATCATCATCATCATCACCATCACATCCATCATCATCATCATCATCATCATCATCATATCGTCCATCATCCATTACGTCATCATCATCCTCACTCGTCCTCGTCATCCTCCCCTTCCTCCTCCTCCTATCCTCTCCTACTCCTCATTCCTCCTCCCTTCATATCCTCCTCCTCTTCCTCCTCTTCTTCCTCTCCTCCTCTCTCCTCTCCTTCTTCACTCCTCCTCCCCCTCATCATCATCATCATCATCATCATCATCATCATCATCATCATCAGCATCATCATCATCATCATCATCATCATCATCATCATCATCATCAACATCAACATCATCATCATCATCATCATAATCATCATCATCATCATCATCATCATCATCATCATCATCATCATCCTACGCGCCATCCAAGCCAGATATCGATTTTGTGTTCGCAGGCCAGGCAACTGTACCGACGACGGACCAGCTCGTGCCCAAGAGACGCCGGCAGCGGAGGAGGAGAAGAGGCAGGAAGGAGGACATAAAAAGGGAAGGGAGGGCGGGCGAGAGACAAGGATGCAGAGCAGAAGCGTACACCATAGTGAATGCACTGTTGCGAACTCTCAAAACTGAAAAAGGCGAACGTATCTGGCGGCTCTCATTCGGCTTCAGGATTAAAGTTCAGAGAACGACCATCCTACGCGCCACCCAAGCCAGACATTGTGGTACCGTGCCCAAGAGACGCCGGCAGCGGGGAAGGAGAAGATGCAGGAAGGAGGACACCACCACCGACCAGGAGCGGAGGGAAGGAAGGGACCCAAGTCCCAGGATGGCTTCTGGCCAAAATGGCCGTCCAAATTATGAGAGCGATCTCAGCTGCTGACGGCGGGCCAGGTGGAGGCCTTGGGCGCAGTTCATAATAGCGGCAGCGAACGTCGAGGCCACACGGCGAGGGTAGGTCTGGGCGACTTGAGTCCAGAGATTGCCTGAAGCTGGATCGCGGCCTGTGAGAACAATAAGATGTTTGCGCGAAAGTACACACAAACCGCCACGGGCATTGCACAACTTCGGCTGCGAGATCTTGAAACCGCTACCCCAGACTTGGACCCTGGTCCGCTTTCTCCACCTGGCCCCACATCCGCAAAAGTCAAACACGAGGGTTTGCGACGAGGAAAGAGAGGAGAGGCTCTGAAGCGGGGGCACAGACCGGAGGAAGGAGGAGGCAGGTTCTCAAGAAAGGCAGGAACCCCTTGGCGCTCGCAGGCTCGAATGACTTTCGAAGAAAAGAGGAACTGGCTGTTCCCTCGGGCAACGGCGGATGTAGAACGGCCTTCCAGGTTCGGAAGGCCCCAGAGCGCGTCGGGCGCTCGGATCCTGCACCAGCTGCTGCCTAGGGGGCCGTGCCTGGCCCGTGACCAACTGTTACAGGGCGTGCCGAACCACGCGGCCAATACAACCCCCGAAGAGACCCAGCCGAGAAGGGTTCGACGAATGGCAGGCCGATCGAGATCGAACCAGGGTCGGAAAAAACGAAATCAGCAGCGATCACTCCGTAGCCCAGATTTTTCACCCCTCGGCTGAGCCCCTTGGATCCAGCAAAAAGCTCCAGAAAAATATGTTTCCAATTGCGGCCGGCACTCGCCATGGCCGTTCGAAGGAGTGAACGGAGGGGGCAGGGCGCCGGCCGCGCCGGCGAACAAGGCGCCGAGCCTCCCCGAGACGCGGTTGCCGTAGTCCACCACCTGCGCCAGAGCTCGGGCCAGCTCCGAGATGACCCGCGTCTGCTTCGCGTAGCGCTTCGGCGTGCTGTCTGAGGCCCAGCGCCAGCGAAACTTCACCTCCAGCGGCGTCCGCAGGCGGTGGGGGAGGTCGTGGGGCGCTCCTCCGTGGCGAAGGCCGTGCGCCGTGATCCCCAGGTCCCGCAACTGGAGCTCGGCCGCCGCCTCCGAGAGGCGGACTGACAGGTCGCCTGGCGGGAACTGCCAGATGCGGTCCGTCGACTCGCGGGCCCGCATCTTTAAGACCTGGAGGCAGGGGTACAAGTACGTCAGCGAGTCCAGGAGCACTGCGTCGTCCCAGGTGTGGGTCTTGCTGGGGGCGCCCATCTCGACTGGCGCCAGCAGCAGCCCCCAAACGTTCGCGGCCCCTCCGGCCGCCTCGACGGGGGCGACCAGCTGGAGCGACGTGAGCGAGTCGCACTCCCCGGGCCGAAGGTGCGCCGCGAAGGAGAGCAGGGCGGCCACGGCATGCCCCACCAAACCGCGGTTGATGAGCGCCCCCACGATCGCCGCCAGCAACGCCCGCGGGATGGGCATGCGGGCCTTCCGAGGTACCACCTTGCCCCAGCCCGCCAGTGCCCGCGAAGTCCGCGGCAGCGCGCCCGCTCCCCAGCGGCCTAGGCCAGGGTGGGAGAACTTGATGGCAGCGATCAGTTAGCTGGCGTCGTCACCCGCACAGCCCCCGAAGAACAGCTTGTCCAGGAAGAGCACCAGGCAAACGTCCAGCTGCTCGAAGCCGTCCCAGCTCAGGCGGACCGACGTCGCCCAGTGGAGGAAGGCCGAGGCCCAGCGGTGGTAGTCCTTGTAGGTCGCCGGCGCCACCGACCGCCCCTCCAGGTAGGACAGCTCTGCTAGGGTCGGGGGGGCGAGGGGCGACGGCAGCGGCGGCGAGCAGCGCTGACGAGCCGCCGCGTGCTTTGCACTGGGGGCCCGAGCGTGTCCCGCCATCCAAGCTGACGCCTCGGGCACCAGCGTCCGCGTCATGTAAGGGCCTGCTCTCGCTGAAAGGTGGGAACGGTGGGGCTGCTATGGGGCGCGCTGGCGACAGCGTCAGAAACCACAGCGCCAACAGCAGGGCCCAGGGAGTCTGCCTTGACCGCGTGCTTGATGAACGCGCGACCTCTCGATGGGTAGTCAGAGGGATTGCGCTCAGAAGGGGCCCATCTAACCGAGAGCCGTACATTGCAGGCCAAAGATAAGGCGCAGATTTCACGAAGCACATCTCGGATCTGGAAGGCCCCTGAGCGCCCCTTGCCAACCGCGGGGGCCAGCCCGAGGTTGTCGACGAAGATGAGCAGCCGTCGATTGAAAGCAGAGCGGCTTCGAAGCAGATGGCGAAGAGCCGAAGACAGAGCCGAAGGCGGCGGCCTCAGCAGGCCTGCAGCGCCTGCGACAGACTCCGCAACCCCAGCGGGAGGCATCACTGGCAGCCACCGCGTCATGCCAGCGGGCGCTCTTGTTGACGACCAGCAGCGGCAGCAAACTCATGGCGATTGTCAACTCATCCCTGACCGAAGGCGCGGCACCTCAAGCCGCCCTCGGCACTGCAGCGCGAAAGCGTAGACTGAGGACAGCGTGGGCAGCGATCAGCGCTGGATCAGCATGACCCACGTCAGGTGGCCGATGGGGATCTCCATAACGTCGCCACTGCACCGCCCTTTGGCAAAGAGCTCGGCGAGGGCGGCCTTCAGACGCCAGATGCGCTCGCAGGAGACGCGCGCGGTGTGGCTGCGGCCGTCCAGCTCGAGCCCAACGAACTGAACCTTTGTCGAGGCGCCTGTCTCCTCGTGCACAACGAAGCCCGAGTCGGCGAAGGCGCTGGCCACGCGCTGACCTGTGGAGGCCACAGCTTGCCGAGGCCCCCCCATCGCCATAAATTTGTCGACGTGGGCGGCGCCCTGTGGCACGCGCAGCTCCAGAGGTATTGCTGCGGCTCGGTCGCTGACGAGGCGCTCGCTAGGCAGGCCCCCGCGACGGGCGCCCTCTTCGACCGCAAGCTGGCAGGGGTGCAGCGCCCAACTCCAGCCCATCGCCCCGCCGCGAAGGGCGGCCGTTGACGACTAGGCAACCCGCCGCCTCAGCGCGCGCAGGCGCCAGCCTGAAGGCGTCGCCTAACGCCTCAGGTGTCGCGATGGCGTAGAAAACGTTCTGGATGTCGCCCGCGTAGAAATAGCACGCGTCGCGCTCGGCGGTCCCCAGCTGGCTGAAGGCGGCCGCCGTTGGCAGCTGCGCACCAGCCATGCCAGGGGGGCCCAGCACCTGACGGAGACCCACAGGCCCCCCCCCCCCCCCAGGCCTAGGTGGGCGACCCGAGTGAGAGAGCCTCGCCCAGCTCCCATCAGACCTGAAAGTGAGTCCCGTCCTCCCCGCCCATCATGACGACGGGCTCGAAGACGAGCGCCGCGCCCTGGAAATCGGCCTCCAGCGCCAGGAAGATGCCGTGGAAGCCAATCTCTCCCAGGGTCACGTCCTGTTTGCGTGGGTAAGCAGCCAGTTCTCGACATCGATGAACGCTGCTACGTCCCGCATCTTGGCCCATGCCTCGCACTGGATCTCCTCCAACGCAGAAGCAGCATCCGTGGGCAGGACCCCCTCGAAGTTATTATTATTGTCCTTCTTCTTCTTCTCGCTGACGCTATGGCTCCAGGCGCCGTCGCTGGAGCTGCCGGCGCCGGTGGGGCCGCGCCCAGCGACGCCAGGCTTGTCAAAACTGTGGCCAAAGGGGCCCCCGACCACATTGCAAAACTCCAAATGCGTAGCTGGTCTGGCTGCCTATGATGGAGCCGCGCTCATTCATCATCGCGTCGACAACCTCAGGGTCGAGCTTCTCGCCGAAGTTAGTCAGCGCGCGGCGTAGACCCTCAAAGCTGACGAGGCCCGAGCCGTCGCCCAGCTCACGGAAGGCCTCCAGCGTCCGCTTGGTCGCATCAGCGCGTCTTCCATCGCCCAGAGGATGAGCACCACTCTTGGCGATCACCTCCTCATCCTCACCAACTTCTTGCCAGCGTCGCACTCCGCCTTCAGCGCGCCCACGGAGCCATTGGAAAGCACGGGGCGCTCCTCGTCCTTGGGCTTCGCGCGAGCGGCGACTCTAGCTGCTTCTTCTTGCTCTTCTTGCTCTGCTTGTGCTTATTATTCTTATTGTTCTTCTTCGTCTTCTCCTTCTTGTTATTCATCTTCTCCTTGCGCCTCCTGTGCGCCGAGCTTGACGAAGCTGACCTTCGCCTCCTCTACGTCCTCGAGCGCTCGATCTCCACGGTTTTCGGCTCCTCCGACACTTCGGCAGGCCGAGATGATACGCATCCAGCTCCTGCACCTGCTCCTGCCGAGCCTGCTCCTGCTGCGATGGCACGGCCTGCGACATGGTCCCTCGCCGCTCCACGGGTGCCCCCCCCTCCCCCCAATACCCCGGCGGCGGTGCCAGGGTGACCTCCGTGAGGGTCGGGAAGATGGGCGGGCGGCCGCTTTGACGGCGCCACGATCACCGTCTCCGAGTCCCGTTTCCTCCTCGGCGGGGTGACTGAAGCTGACCCCCGTCCTGTATCACCTTGACCTCGAACTCCTTGATGCTGGCCTCCTCCGTGAAACGCTTCGCCAGAGCGACCAGCGCCGCCTGCGCACTGTCGCGCTCCAGCAGCACCGACGGCAGGAGCAGGCGGAGCAACATGAAGCACCAGCCATCAGCTCCCGCGCGCTGCGCTGCTTCCAATCGCGCGCGCGGTACCCCAGGCCCCCTGCCCGACAGGAAACGGCTGAGGGGTTCCGCGAGGGGTTGGAGCGTCCAAGATGGCCCTGAATCGCTCTACGGGCGCCTCGGAGAGCCCAGGACGCGCTCCAAGATGGCTCAATATACCCCAAGATGCCCCAAGATGGCTCTCAAAATGCCCCAAGAGGCCCCAAGACCGTTACAAGATGGCCTCAGGTGGCCAAAGAGTTCCTGAAGGAGGCCCCGAAGAGGCCGAAATCCTTCCAACACGTAAGGGGAATACATGTGGTATGCTCTCTCACCTTTTCGTTCTTCCAAGGCCTCAAGATGGCTCCAAGAGGGCCGAAGAGGGCCCCAAGAGGGGCCCAAAAGAGCCCCCAAAACGGCCCCAAGAGCGACCAAACGCGCCCCGATAACGCCCCAAGAGGGGCCCAAAAGGCGATTTCAGGCACTTTGGAGTGGCGAGGGTAATCGGGGACCGGCTCTTTTGTTGATCGGTGTCCTCCAAGATGGTCCGAAGAGCGCTCCCGAGGCACCCAAAAGCGCCCAAAGAGGGCCCCAAGAGGCGCCCAGGCTGCCCCGAGAAACGCCCAAGATTCCCCCAAAAGGCTTTCAAAAGGCCCCCGAGATTTCAAAAGGATCCCCGAGGCACCCAAGATGCCCCCCCAGACGTTCCAAGAGGCCTCCAAAAACCTCCCAAGAGACATTCGAGGAGGCTCTTTTGTTCGTCCTGTTTTCCGCCTCCTCCTCCTCCTTTTCCTCATCGTCGTCGTGTCCTCCTCCTCCTCCTCCTCCTCCTCCTTCTCCTTTTCCTCCTCCTTGTCCACCTCCTGCTCCTCCTCCCTTCTCCCCCACATCGGACGGTTTCCCCCGCCTTGTGTTTCTGTATGCTCCCCCCCTTTCCCTGATCACCTCAACCCCCCCTGGGCATTGTTTTTGGATGGGTTGGTGGGGATACGCGAAGCGTCAACAATTTGTCAACTCGTTTGTAAACACAAGCTCTTCTCAGGCTCTACCCCCCGGGTTTATCGACACCCATTGCGTATTGTAACATACGTGCGATTCTGCCCCACCGGCAATCCGAAATATCAACTCATACCATCCCAACCCAACCGGTATCGACCCCCCCCCCGTCATCCCCAGCCCAAACAAAATTGGCGCGCGCACTCGTTCATCAAAACGCATAAGTCTGCAATTGTCAATTGCAAAACCATGGGATGAATTGCGCACGCGCGCGTCGTCGCGCGCGCATGCCGGAATCCTTCAAAACCTTCGGTGCCGATAAAAGCACAGGGCTTCGCAACGCGGATTTTCAAACCAAAAAATTGCGCGCGCGCTCTTGCGATTTTTGGGGAACCCCCTGGTTTTTGCAACATGTTCGTAACATGCTACCAGACAGGCTTCGCGCGCGCGCATGTCGAAATCGTTCGAACGCCCTTGCGCGCGTGCCGTCGCGAAAACCCTTTTGCAACAAAGGGACAAAGTGCACGCGGCCGCGTCGTCGCGCGCGCATTCCAAGATCTGTCAAAAACCTTCATCATCGTATCAAATGTCAGAACCGAATGTCCAAAACATCTACAACAACACGTGGTGCCGTAACATATCTTCCAAAGCAACACGCATGGAATTCTGTTAAGTGGACCTCTGGTGTCGCATGCTGACATCGTTCGCACGCCCTTGCGCGCGCTGGGGGGGGGGGGGGGCACGATCCGTGTCAAAGAATACCGCGCGGGCCACTCTCGCGCGTCGGCCGCAGTCGCATGTCGAACCTTTTCCAAAACCTGCGTCACCGACGCGAAGACGCAGTCATCGTCATCGGCGTGATCAGCATCGGCGCCCGCACTGGCTACGCCGTCGTCGTTGTCAACATCGCCACCACAATCGCTACTATCATCATCGTGTCTACTGTTGTCGACGTTGCCGTGATACCGCGCCCGCCCAAGTCGCCGACTCGCAGTCAAGTGCCCGCTGGGATGTGCCCAGCGGTCAGCGCCACCGCGGCCGCGTCGGTCGCGCCGAACTAGTTGGCCGCTGCGCGCGCTTGCTTGGGTCGGCGCGGCCGCACAAATGAACCAGCCAATCGCAATCGCCACCGACTGGGTTTTGCAAACAAAACTGCGGGTGGGTGGGTGGGATGATTGCGCGAGCAGTGGAGGTGGTCAAGCGCGGTACAGGGTAGTCAATTGCACCACAAAGGTTGCACCATACATGTGTGTATATATATATATATATATATATATATATATATATATATCCCACAACATCGATTGCACATCCTAGAACACGCTGGCTACCATTTACTTGTTCGTCTTTGTTCGTCAGGAAAGATCGAAGAGGAGACCCTCCCCTCGAACATGGGCGCCGTCCTGCACCAACTCCTTTCCTTCGTTCGACTCGAGCCGGGCACCGGCCTGGAACTGCGTGACGAAACTCTGGATGAAGGTCAGGTCGTGCTTCGGGCGGGGAGGCTGGGAAGTGGCAGCGAAAGGGAGGGTCGGTCGGGCAGGGGAGCGTCGGGTCTGACCAAAGCGGGGGTAGCAAAGGAGGCTGACGAATCAGCTTGCGTAGCTGGTTCTCCCAACGGCAAAAAACGCCAGCGCATGGAGGAAAGCGCCCGACGGCGGGGCGGAAACCAGCCGCATGCAACACTTTTCGCAAGCACCCGTTTCCCAATCCCCTCTTTTCGCCTGTCTACGGGACGCTTCGTTGCCTCCCGGAGGCCTTCTCACCCTGGGACGCGTTCCAACAACTGCGCCGTGCCGAGAGCGTCCCCGGCTGCCCGACTTGACCCGAAGCCCCGCCCGAGGCTCGAGCTAGGACCCGAGAGCCCCGACCTCCAACGCGCTGAAGCACTCGGTGCGGACTTCCTTTGCCGTTCTCGGCCTCCGGGGGGGGCCCACGCTGGCACCCAGGACAATCGAGAAAACGTTGGGCGGAGAAGCCATCCCCGGGGAAACGTCGGGACTTCCGGGGGCCCCGCATGGAAAAACTCACGACGTCAGGTGTCTGCGAAGGGAGGGGGGGGATGGGGCGCCAACCAGTTTCTTCCTCCGCTCGCCTATCTCCTCTCTCGCCTCGTTGTCCCTCCTTTTTGGGGTGCGCCCTGTCGCTGGCACCCTGGTGGGCTGTCGCCCTCCAGCTACCCAGGTCTTGAAGAAAGCCTGCAACATTGACACATCCCCTGCGCGTCGTCGCCGAAACCCCCGGCCGACACGCCTTGCCCCAGTGGCCAGGCACCTCAAAATTAGGCGCCGCGGCTGCGGATAAGATGAGGGGGCGGGATAGGGAGAGGAGGGAAATCGGAGGGCAAGAGAATGCGGGCGGGCCAGCGATCGGGAGAGGTGACAGCAACCGAAGGATGGCCGGCCGGCGGGCGGGAAATGACGGACGAGGAGGGGGTCCGCAGAGGGAGGGGGGACGCAAGCTGGGCGAGCCCATACTCGCGGCAACGGGAAAATGAGGAGCAGGGGGGGGGGGGCGGATCAAACACGCCGCTCCTCGGAGCAAGCTGAGACGTGAAACGCTCACCGCCAACGTGCAACCGAGGGGGCTGGGCATGCGGCGGATGGGTGTGCTGGAATCCGAGACGCGGAGTTTTTATTACAGCGCTGCTTTGGAAGCGAGGGGGAGCGGACACATCAGCACGATGACAAGCTCGGCGACACGATCGCGAAGCCACAACAACCATGACACAGGCAGCTTGGATAATACAGAAAGCGAGAGCCAGTAACAATTATAGGTTGAACGCTGCAATTCAAAGTTAGGCGTAAGGAGGATGGCCGAACCTGCAACCTCGAAGCGCTCCCACGCGCGTCTCGGGCGAAGCCCCGCAAACCCAGAGGGGAGACCGAGAAACAAGGCGAGTAAGCGAACTACAGTCAACTTGCGTTTCGGCTTCGCACGCGAATTTTGCTTATGTCGACCGGCTGTCGTGTCACAGCTCGCCGCATATACCCAGCGCGTGGACTCATACCATGCCGGACAGCCTGACCCGTTGCAAAGGCACGCGCGCACACGCACACTTCACGTCGCAGCGCGGCAGAAGCCATCCGCACGTGCGTCTGAGCGAGACCGGGGCACGGAGTCGCGCATTAGCCCGCGCGTCAGAGGGGGACGGGAGGCGAGGAGGCGGCCGCAGAGGGGGGGGGCAGGGAGCGGGGTCGCACTTCCGCAGCGAGGCTGCGGCGGGTACGTGGGCGCGGCCTGGCCGAGGGGACAACCCTGGCAGCGGCGTCGCAGGGCACCCAGGGAGGGAAGCCAGCAGCCACAGTGCGGGCAAGGCCCAGCAAGGCGAAGAGCGGGAGTGGAAGGCACACACACACCACACACACATACACACACATATACTCACACATACGCA